ATAAAACTTACACGTTATACTTTGCTTTGAACACTCTGCAAACAATTTTTTACACTTAACTTTTTATTTAAAAGTGTACAGGTATCCAAAAACCGAAATCCTTCTGCTCCACTGTGTTCGTCGCGTTCGTTTCAATCAAAAAATGTAGAAATCTGACTGTCAGATTAGTCAATGTTGCCAGATTCACTTAGTTCCGTACTAAGAAGGAAGGAATAAGAAGAATGATAACGTAGGTTTATGAAAATTTTAGACCGTAAACTAATTTAATTAAACGTATCCCTAAATTAATCGTAAATAAAAAGTAAATATGTACATACATACGTACATATATGTAAAAGATATTGTTACGATTATCCTTGAACATTTGACCGATTTACCAAAAATCTCTAGGTAATATCGCTGGATTGTTAAATAAACGCTCAAGATGACCATATTACAGTACGTCCCCTTTCAGACACGTCAAGTCTTGAAAGCAATTTTTTCGCACTCTCTTTTGTGTTTTCTATTTGCTTCCACACGCGTCAACTTTAATTGAATTCAAGTCCTTGGTTCTTTAAATGGGAAGCAACGAAAAGAACAAAAGAGACAAGAAAACTTGAAACGAATTGACGGTACGGAGGTATCTGTACTCTTCCCCTCTCTTCTCACCTCCTTCGCCTACGAACGAGCAGACTTGAAAGCAAGACTTGACGTGTCTGAAAGGGGACTACAATTAACTTTTTTGTACTGCTGCCTGCAGTGTCCTGTGAGGATACCTATTACTATTTTAAGCTGCCCCTTTGGGAGGTCAATTAAACTTTGGAATCTTCTTCTGTTAAAACCTCCCAGTAAACTCTTTGCCTGGCGCATTACTGACGAACTTTGCGAGTTTAGATCCCTCATAGTGTTCCTCTTTATCGTAACCTCCTCTTTCAGAGTATTTGGACACACTCCTAGGAAGGGCTCAGGGCCAACTGAAGTAATGGCTGCCGCCTCTCTTGCGAGACAGTCAGCCGCCTCGTTACCCTCTAGTCCCTTATGACCAGTTACCCACGCTAGCTTCATGTAATTGTGTCTACCAAGTGAGTTAAGCTTTTCAATGCACTCCAGGACCAGCGAAGATTTGACCTCATAGGATATAATGGCCTTGAGTGCTGCCTGGCTATAACTTAGGATTATGATTCTCTCGTTTCTATACACTCTACTCATGATTGTATCCGCACATCAGTAGATGGCGTAAACTTCTGCTTGAAAGATGCTCGGATATTTCCCCATAGGAACAGAGATCCTGGCCCTGGATCTGACGATTCCAGCACCTATTCCTTCTACCGTCTTCGAGCCATCCGTGTACCAGTGCAGAGTGCAACCCTGCAGTAGTGCCTCGAAAGCGGAGATACCCCAGGTTGCTTTACTGCAAAGCTCTATTTTGAATCTCTTCTGAAAGACCATAGCCTTGCCTATGTCATCTCTAGGTAACAGGGATAGTGGGAGCGAGGACCCTAACTTCTCCATACTCCTAGAGGAAATCACTTTGCCTTTTCCAAATCCCTCTCTCGCAATGTTAAGCAGAGTTTTTTTGGCTGCCTGCTCTGTGGTTATATGAAGAGCCTCAAGTTCGAGGACTACTTCCAGCGCCGTCGTCGGACGTGTGCGCATCGCTCCTATTATGCATACACATGCCAGTCGTTGTAGCTTGGTGAGCGATTATCTCACCGTTGCTAGAGCAGTTCTTGAAACCCATCCTACCGCCTTATGGATGTCACTGTCTGCACTATTATGACGTAAAGCCATCTTAGGAACCTGGGCGCACGACCCCCGGATTTTCCCGCCAGACGCTTACACACCATAGGTGTCTATGATTAGTCCCAGATACTTAACTTCACTTGCAACGCTGACCACGAATATCTTCCGCATAGCCTTCCGCATGGATACCATTGTCAGAGAGAAGCTGAAGGAGTTCATCCACCACTTGGCTCCGCGGAAGGGATGATAAGACCCCTCCCAGCGGGCAGCCCTTTGTTGTCTGCTGTCCCATACCTCGCTTTCAGCAATCCTTGTACGCAGGAGCGCATCCATCCAATTGCAGATCGCTGGCTGCACGTTTCTCCCCTCTAGGTCCCTGCGCACTCCAGAGTGTGACGTGTTGTCAAACGCACCTTCTATATCGAGAAAGGCGCAGAGCACTGATTCACCGCATTCGAGGGCCCCCGAATCTCGGTTGTCAGTTGATACAGGGCTGTGTCCTTGGACCTTCCGAAAACAACCACCATTGTCTTATCAGATTATTACCCAGATCGTTGCTGCAAGTCAGGTCAAGACTTCCTGCCTGGCTCTAGTGACAAGTGTTCGACATTGCCTAACATTGTTTACATTCAGATCTTCACTTATAAAATACTCAAGTAGGGACTGCCCCATTCAACGTGGTGGGCATTCGCAGATCAGAGGTAGTCGAGCTCGCTGTGGCACCCCCTTCTATGCCTCACATTTTCGCTCGTGCTCTTATGCCCACTATCCTCTTTCAAAGCTTCCTCGTGGAATGATCGAACGTTAACCGAGATCCAAATATGTGGTCATAAGTGGGCGGTTCCACGCCCATTTTCCAAAATTGTATCACAAACGTATTTTTTGCAAAAGAATTATTGCAAACATCAATTTCATGAACCAAAAAAAAAAGATCACGCGGGCAGGACAGTAGCCCGTTAGAATCGTATTTAGGGAAAAAGTTTAACGATTTTGACATTTTTTGGCTTTTTACTGCAATTTTCTTCATTTTCGCCTGTGACAACGTGTGTACACATAAGATAATGAATAAAAAACACAGCGGCATGATTTATAGAAGAATTTGCATAATAAAAATGATTTTTCATGCGTTCAACAATTTTGCGGTTTTCTCCGTTCTCTTCGTTGTTTACTTCTAACAACAAAGATGGCGTCGAGATTTCGGCAGCTAGAAAATAACTTTTCTTTCTTTCCTTCCCGCGTGACCTTGTGTCTTTCGTCCATGCATCAATTTTGAATAAAATCACTTCAGTATTAATTGATTTATAGAAAATTTCGTATTTCTTTAAATTACCGCTATATATGGGATGTGGACGTAGTTATTGTCCGATTTTAAAAATTTTCAGCCATTTGGTTTGTTGTACCAAGGCCAACAACTGTGCCAAGTTTGGGGAAATTGGTGGAGCGGTGTTCTTATTTTTCATCTAAAACTTATAGTATTAATCAATCTTGAGTTAATAAGCCTCAGTAGTTACTAAAATATCACAGTTTTCGTATTTCAGAAAACTACTGTTATATGGGAGGTAGGCGTGGTTATTGTCCGATTTTGTCGTCACGCAAGCGAGATTTTCCAACACGTGAAGACTGCCGGTTACACCTAGCTAAGTAGTAGTGATGGCAGAACAAATTTAATAATCGATTAATCGGTTAATTGATTAATCGAAAGCATTCGATTAATAATTGCAATTAATCGTAAGAAATTAATCGATTAATCGGTCGTTTCGATTAAAATCGAAAATAATAAAAACCATTTACATAAATTATAGAATCTGACTGTTCTATTTAAATCATTATTGTTAAATAGAGCAAACTTGCGCATTGAATTCAGTGCGCAAACAATGAAGAAAACTAAAAACGAAGCGAAACAATAAATGAAAAAGATGTAAGTAGTAAATTATCCGTTATATACCCCGTGTCAAAATTATAAGCGCACCACAAAAATTTTCTTATTTTATTTAACGTTAATTATTTTTTTAGATATAGCTTATGCTTTATATAAATATATCAACAAAAAATTAGAGCTTTTTAATTAGATTACTTAGAAAGATTTTCGGTATGCAGTTTTGTAGCCCATTCAATTTTTGTATAAAAAATTGCAAGATTGAAGTATCTGGCACCGTTGATTTTTGGCATTTTTTGGAGCGTCTATTTTCTTCCATATAAGTATGGAAGAAAATGCGCAACACCGCCTACGGAAAATAAAATGAAAATATATGCACAACTGCGATGTGGCCTTTTAGTTGCTACTTAGGTTAAACTAGTATTGCGGTTTTTTGCAGTAATATCGTTGAAAAATTTGCAGAATACTAGAATGTGAAGAATGGATACCATTTTGTTGCTAATATTATTGAGCGGTAGAGTACCAATTTTTGCTATGTAATTTTAATTCATACATTATGTGTGAGTAGGGTAGTAAATTTTTGATGGTTTCATTTCGATTATTTTGAAAATTATTGGGTTAATCGCTCGATTAATCGAAAGGAAGTTTTCGATACAATTAAATCGTTTACCCGATGAAAATAACCGATTATAATCGGTTATTCGATTAATCGTGCCATTACTAGTACTCGGTAACTTGGCGTTCGGTAAATTTCCTCATGTATTTTGTTTGTGTAAAATTATTTAAAATATATGGTAAAAATTACCAAACATCGAGTTGCCGGTTACCAAAATCTAGAGACCTACGTTCTTTGGTCTTTTAATGAAAATTGTTTAGAATATGCTAGATATTCCATAAAAATTACTAAACCTATACAGATGACACTAGGTGTAGCATTATGTTTCTCAGCAACAATGGGTAGGAGTTGTTATGTTTCAGTAATATGTTTATAGACATTCACAGCTGACCACCTGATATCAACATTAATTATATAGTACATATAGCTTCCTTAAAAACATCAAACTACAAAATAAATAATAATATATATAAACTAGAAGTCATCGGAATTAAACATTCGTTAATATGATTGAAATAAGGGCAAAGCTAGTACGCGCTGATTCGGCCATATACGCTACAGGAGAAAGAGTGGAGTGTCTCATTGAATTCACACACATTGGTTCACCTGGTGAGGATAACATGTACGTATAAGGTTGGTATTGTCGAAAAGAATATTTAAAACTCCCTGTTCCCTTTTCTACCCAATAGCCGCATGGAAAATTTAGCTTGGGCCTCGGCGCAGTTACATTGTTATCGCAAGACGAGCTACAATGTTACAACCAGTGATAAAGTGAATGAATTGGCAGAACTAGTAGGCAAAACAGCATTGGATGCTGTAACACAAGCAAGTGGCGACATCATAATTGCTACAAATCCTAAAATTTTATTTTGTGATTTAAAACTGTCGCCAGGTGAAACCAAAATATGTAAGTATAAAAATTGCAGAATTTAGTGAGACTGTAATTGGTACCAATTTTGTTTACAGACTTTTTCAATGAAATTTTGCCACGTAACGGACCACCAACATATCGAGGGCACGACATTAAGTATTTCTACAAAATTACAATAGCCACACAACGAGTTAAATCCAAGGTACAAATGCTTGCTGTGCCTATACGTGTTCTACCTATTCCAATTATTGCGCGTCTAGATGAGATGCACTGCACTGAAGAAACAAATGACGAGCTAGCACCCACAAATCCCTTCCTAGAAAAGCGTGAAATTTCCGAACTGGAGATATCTTGGCATCATCTTAAGGTAAAATTTATGACAGTATTTTTGAAACATTTTAATTTCACTGTTAAAGAATATTCGAATTTGTTTAGAATGTAACTGCCCGTCGGGCACCTAAATATTACCGTATATCAAACAAGCGTGGATTTGTCGGACGCTTTTGCCTGTTTAAGTCTTCTTACAAAATTGGTGAAGACATTGTTGGAAGTTTGGACTTCAGTAATTGTAATGTGCGTTGCGTACAGTTTTCTGTTAAACTACAATCACAAGAAATATCTCTGCAATCCAACGCCAACCAGACCAGTGGTGACTTAAACGACGCCTCATCAGTAAATTCATTAGACTTGGCAAGTGTTGCAAGCGGTACAGCAATAGATAATCTTCACAAATCGAAGACATCGGCTAGTGCGCGCAATGCAGAAGCTGAGGAACCTGTAGGAAAGGTGAGCACGTTTACCACCATACACCAGGTTTGCTATGCCATGTTGAAGACCTCTGTAATTATACCTATTCCACTGCATGTAACACCCTCATTTCGAACTGATTTGGTGGAGTTACGCTGGCGGTTACATTTTGAATTCGTCACAAGCACAATGATGGACTTTGGGAAACCCAATCCAATTGAAGGTGAACTAAAAGCCCCTGCGGAAATACCAGTCGAAACCATGGTATGGAACCTACCGGTTACTGCAATATATGCGGCTAACCCGCTTCAAATATATTCACCAAGTCAAACACATAGTCTACTTATTAAGTAAATTACTGCATTATCTGTGTATTTTCAATATTCAAAGCATAATAAAAAATAAACACATATGTATATATGTGCAAAATGACGTCATTCCTCGAAAGTTGTTCTTACAGTGTTTATCGACCTACCTTTCCCAGTTTTGTATCTGTTTTAGGATTAGCAATTAAATCTTGAACAGCTACAATTGTTTCATTGATTTTTGTTTGTAACTGGCGTAAACTTTGTATTTGTAATAATCGCAAAATGCGGACAGAATAATCCAAAGCGGGATCATCCGTCACCACATCATTACCCTTTTCAAAAGGAAAAGGAGTTCCAGTTATCGGCTGACGATTCTTAGCAGAAGCTGAAAGTCTTTCATGTACAACACGGGCAATTGCTTCCAATTGTACAAGATGATTTGGGTGATGCGGAATTTTAAGCTTATTGGCTAATGAGCGTACTCCAGCTATGAAATCTTTGTGATTAACTAAAACATATAAAATTAGCATAAATTTAATATTAAAAATTAAAGAGTTGGAGCATGCTTACAATCCAGGTTGTCGAAGAAATTTTCCGCTTTTATGCTAGGTGCGAGAGACTTATTTTGCTGCTTGCTCACCTCTATGGAATTTATAGCTTTGTAATTTTCGGGAGCATCTAAAAATTCCAATCGAATGGCATAGCCAAGCACCCAAGTTATTTCTTCTATTGGAGTGCAGAATTGTGGCATGCCAAGATCTGCCTTATAGTTTTCATACGCTTGCTCCCATATGTCAAGTTGATCAACCTTGCGGAGATCCTCACGATCCTCTATTCTATACTGGCGTATTTTTTGGTCTTCTAACCACAGAATAGTACTAGCAAATACTTTACGATCTGTAAAAAATTAAGGTGCATACATAAATGCGCGTAACGATATATACATACATACGTATGTATATTTCAGTGTGGAAATTATAGTTATTCTCACCATTGATATCTACATTGCTGGGAGTTGGATGTTCCAGTGCTTCTAATTTCAGCTTAATCATATTCGGAAGATATTCTATATTTACTCTACCAAAGTTTGATCAATTTAATGATTTTTAATAAATCAGCTTTGCTCCACTAACATATACCCCTCGGAAAAAAACAACAGCTGTCAATTTGCGCTGTCATTTGGTATGATCCACTTGCGATCCACATTCGTCGCTTTGACGCACGGTTGCCACTTCTTAAAAATAACTAACCAACA